CGGAAATCGATTGTTACTTGGGTGGACACATTTAGGGCGAGTGGAAGTGTGAATGCAAGAAGGTGTAGAAGTCAGCGGACTGCCACGACACCCGAAAGCGTAAAGAGAATTAGAGAGGCGTTTTTGCCTTTCTCCAAACCGATCCAAACCGATCCAAACCGTTCCAAACACGCTGCTATTCTGTGCAGTGTGGTACGAATACTCCACAAAGAACAGCAGTTTAATCCCTGCAAATTGTCTATGGCACAAGAACGATTTTATTGCTCGCCGAAATGCATGTTAAGCGTTTCTTGAGGGCAGCGTAAACAAGCATAACATGCTTTATTGGAGTTATTATATGGGTTTATCTTAAATCAATTGTTTACAAGGACTGTCCAAGGATTTGACAATGACCTAATTTGAAGAACAACATACATCAAGCCATCGTCAACGTACGTACCCGTCAATAGATATGCTTCAGCGAATTGAACGGAACTTCAAAAATCGACCAACTGAATGCATTGACAATGAGGGCCGTCATATGCCCGATGTCATCTTAAAACTAAGTGATACAAAAATTGAGGAAATTTCTTTTCAATGACATTTATGATGTAATGATATCTTTGCTAGGTCTTTTTTATCGAGTTTTCAATTCCGGGAGTTCCCGTGAATCATCCTGTAATTGCTGCTTATTTCTTCCGCTACATCGCCTTTCTTACCTACGAAGGCACATAAACAAATCAGGTACAGAAAAATAGTATGAAAATGTGGTTCCATCGTTATGGACCAGTAATTATTGATATATGCTTACGGGTAAAAAGATTTCAGTAATGAAACGTTTTTACGCATGTAAATTTAGTGGAAGCTTTATATAACAGACATGTGTAAATGGCAAGGATCACAAAAGTGATCCTCGTATAAGGATCGTGTATCTAATTTATTATCGTCAGCTTAAATTTGGTTTCTTCACAGTCTCACTACTTATTCACGTATATAAACATTCCTATTATTTTTGAAGCTGTATCCAACCTGAAAATGAACAGAATTGATTAGTAAGTTTTCTTCAATATCTTTATTTAAAATGCCCATATACTGACGAACATTGATGCCAAAAATTTTAATGTAAATATATAGACGGCTTACATGAAGTATGATGTTCGAAACCCAATTTCTGATTTGCATGTAGCGCACTTGCTTGTCCTCGCCTCGCACATGCCGAGTCGGCAGCGCAGTTGACTGAAGTTTGTCAGTCATTCGGCGCCGAGCAGTGGAAGCCACAGCAAGTGTGTTAAACTCTCACGTCTTTGTTCAGGATTTTGTGGAAGTTTTCTGAAAATAAATCTAGAAGTGGGTGCCGTCATAGGGGCAGGTGAGGTGCTAGATGTTGTTCTCACGGACTATGTACAAATTATGGTATTTGTTGAACAAGTTTTTACACCAATTGAAATATAGTTCAGTGTGTATTGCGAATTGGAACTTTTGGAATTGTATCTGAAACGAATGCGAATTGGAACTATTTGATCTGAAATTTTGTTTTCATGAGGCATCAGTGTTATTGAATTGATTGTACACATTACAATCAGATTATCTGCGGATTCTTAACGTAAAATTTTAATTCGAATCGGAATATTAACCTGACTTTCATATTGAAAAATGAGATTGATATGAGGTTTTGAGTAGATTAAGAGCTTGAAATTAAATTTTTGGAGTTTTGTTCTATATTTTTTAATTTTATTGTGCCCTGCTCGATAAATATCCAACTCGCAATAGAGGCAATAACAAATCACAGCATTATCAGTTCCGGTCAGGGCTGGGGTTAACCTGTGAATATATTACATATTAAGTTCATTTTACATTTATTTACTCTAATTCGCATCCACATTTTTATCATTATCCACATTTGTTCCAAAAAAAGTGAAAATTTTTGAGTGCCTTAACGATTTTAGAACCGTTTTAGGCTCATAAAATAACCGTTCCATTTTTCGGGGAGTTAGAGGTAGATTTAAATACTTCGTACGTTTTAAAGTAGATGAAAATAAATGCTTCAGCATAATATCAAAATTCGAACAAAATAACTACTCGCGTTTTTGATGACTCGTTGCCTCAAGAGAATAACTTGCAAGGCCCTCCGCGTGGCTGATCGAGTTCTCCGACAAGTTCCTCTAATTTGATTTGAGTTCCTCTAAGTTGACAAGGCAATTTGATTTGAAAGCTCCGAATCCTCGTAGTGAAGCATGTGCATCTCGCCTCATTCAGTTGAAGCTGTTGCCTCAATTGCATCTCGGAAATGAACAAATCTGCATCATATATTCTTGCAGCCGCTATATTATTACCTTTTTTAAAGTGTACTCGTTTGTGGAAACTATATTTTCCGACTGGTAGCCATGCGTCATCATGGAAATTCAAAATGCATGTCCAACATCAATGGGTCTGATAAGATCATATAAAAATGAGTTCTGAAATGTAGCTAAGATATCATTCCGCTGTTTTTCTGTGCAGAAGCAGTTCGTTGGTTTAATCACTGTAGTTTTTTCAGTTGATTATTATTGTGTTTTCCAATTCTCGCACACAAACATTGCAACATCAAATATTTGGGATATTATCATAACAAATCCAAATGTTAGTGCGCTGTTGATGAGCTTTTTATTGACGTTATTTCGGAATTTCATCCATAAAATTTCATATTGTAAAGCTAAGACATCCATACTGATATATCATTGGATTGCAGGAACGAAATTGCAGCATCATCGATAGCCAAGAATTGAAGCCGATTCTTCATCAAATCCTTCTCTCCCTTGAGGAAAAATGTCCTGCCGTGGTTCAGTCTTCCTTATTGCAACGGTAAATCATTATAGAAGTCTCTATAATTATCATAAGAAGTCAATTATTTCACACCGAAACCTTCCCTCAATCATTACGCAAGTCAACGAATTTTATATTTTCTTTGCTCCTATCATAAATTTTTCGAAATGTACAAAATATGATAAACATATGGCATGAAGTAGAAAGCAGTGGTGACCTCACCTCTTGTAGAAACTGCATGTGTACGTCAAACAACTTGACATTCTGTTGGCTGAAGTCATGCGAACTTAATATAATTATAATATAATATCATTCCTAACATTTTAAAACTAAATTTAATTTGGAATAACTTGTGAACTTCTGGTAATTTGCTGGCATCTATTCAATCTGCTCATAATATATTCTCCTCTGTCACTTTCCGTAGAACATTTTTATTCTTCAATCTCAAAAATTTTAGAATGAATGAATTGATTAAAAAAATTGAAAATGATATTAATACTAAACGATTTTTTAATGCACCTTATTTGTCATAAGTTATAACGTGGCAATGAAATAAGTGTTCCCAAATTTCTTGATTTTAATTATGATGATAGACAATTAATTTGGTCTCTATTTGACGTAACATTTATTATGATATTTATGATTTCCTTTCAACGTAGATTTGTTCAGTTCTAAAGAATTATTTCGAACACATTAATAATTTCGATAATTGAAGGTGCATTTTTGTAGTTCAGCTCATCACAAAGCAAGTCATGAGTCTCATCGTATTATCTGGAAATGTACTCGTATGATGAAACTTTTGCTTAGCGGCGACAGAACAAGATTGATACAAATTTTCGTGCAGTGAATTTGTATTACTTCTTTAAGTACCATGTTATCTAAATATTTAATCTTACTTGAAATATTTTTTTTCAGCACCGAAGACATTTATTTTCGGGAAACGAAAGCAATGAATACTAAACATCGAACTATTTCAAAATATAATCGTCCATATCACAACGTATCGTCCATACTACCATAAGACTGGAGCGTTCAGAAAAATTTCATACTTTCCTACGTAAACTCTTTATTTTGCTAAACGTCGCTTTTTAATCAAAGTTTGTGGATCCGCCCGCCTTTTAACAATGTCTTCTATTAATTTGACTAGTGAGCCATTTTGAAGTTGTCAATAAATAGATATCAAGTCACGACATGTTTTCATTATTGAGCAGCACCTCAACCGCATAACCATATTGGTTTCTAAACCATTTATTTTTTGTTCACTCTCCAGGCGATGGTGGCAGCTCTAACGCCAGCAAGTGGATGCTTCACGTTATTTCCTGTGCCTCTGAAAACACTGACGACAGCAGTGCAGTGAGAATATGCATTTTTCTTTCTAACCTAATACTGAACATTATAGTCGATGACAAAAAATTCACGTGCAGCTGGCACAGAAAGTCCCTACACCTACGGTATCGTTGTTAAGACAATCTTATTTTTATCGTCATTAAAAATTAATTTATTTCAAAAATATTTCCCAAAAACTATTAAATTAATCCCGTCATATTCTGCCTCCTCAAAAAATCAACTTAAGATAAGTACAATAAATTTATTGAGGTGACTTCTAAATGGTTAACAACCAGCAATTGAAAAGAGTTAAAAATTGAACATTAATAATTACTCATCATCGATCAAAGAGCTGATGCCTGTTCATCTGAACATTCCTTCTTGACCAGATGCGCGGCTCCAGCCTCGTACATCAGCAACTGCGGCAACACGGCGTGCACCACCGACCTGGACTGCGGTATCATCGACCAGTGCTGCTCGGTTTCTGGTTGTCCCGGCGGTGACGGCAAGCGCTGCGTCACGAGGTGAGACATGTGCGTTACTGGGTGATATGCATGTCTTTAGGTGAGATAATGTGTAATTGGCGAGATGCGTGGATCACCTTGTAAGAAGCATCAGTCAATGGATGAATTGAAAAACTCGAGTTCTTTGGTGATGTGAGTAGATCAAAGTTCTGTTCATGCGTCACTGGGTTTGGTTTATACGTGCGTTACCGGACAAGACGAGGGCGGCATTAGAGCTAGATACCAATGTCACTTGGTGAGATGAATGCAAGCATGCAATATTTGGGTGAGATTCTTGCTGCACGGGATGGGGTGCGCGTGTCACAGTTTGGGATGAGTGTGAAATACTGGTAAATATTGGGTGAAATAGTCACCTGTTTAGATACGTGTATCATATGAAAAACAACTGGATGGGAATAAAATCCGGGCATAATTTTTTACTAGATATGCTTCGTAAGGTGAGATACGTTCGTACTCTTTATCATGATTGCATCAATATTGCTTCAAGTCTGTGCTGCGATGCTATGTATAAGATGCCCCCAAACAAAGTCGCAGAAATCCTTCTTCTAATCCAGTGAAACGATATTTAAATTTGAACTTTTTCGTGTGTTTTTAAGTTATCTTCTAAGTAATTGAATCATCTGTAATTTATCCATGCACAATTATTAGTGTTATATGCGGAACATTTGACTTTCCGATTCTGTAGCGTGCTATATAATAATTTTTAAAAACATGTTCTACTTGATAGATGCATATTTCTCTCGCACATTTGACTATTCACAACATTATATGCTAGGCCCACAATTTCTATGTACAACCATGAAAATTGGATCCAAGCAATTCATTTCATGCCATTAGAGTGTGCTATTTAAATAAAAGTAGAATAGCGATATATGCAATATCAAAGGTAAGGCGGTGAAATACGATTAATATATAAATGACACCACTTAATGCATCTCAGGTGCCCAGACGCGTTGCCTATCAATATTGGCTGCCCTGGATACAAGCAGTGTACCCTCACCCAAGACTGCAACGTCACCAACTTAGACATTTGTTGTCCTTTTGCGGGGTGTCACTTGTGTGTGCATTTTCCTACTCCGACCAAAGTTCCCACATGAAAGATATTTTTGATTTCGAAACGAACATTCTCACTTGAAATTTCTGGCAGCTCTAAGCCTGCGATTTCATTCGTGGTGTGCGTACATATGATAATGAGTTTGCCTAAATTGTGTGTTTGTTCTTTCAAGGAGCAACTCCAGAAAAACGGACAATATTGACTCTGTATTGAAAATGGCAATGGACTCAGTTTAGAAAACATCATTTCCGTGTCATTTAATACTTCCAGTCGAAATAAACTCGTCAACTAAACGATGTCATCTTTTATTCGAGATCTACGCTTACGATGACCATCCATAGCTATACATTTCCAGTGACGTATAGTATGCAAATTTAATTTGATAACCTAAGAAGGTATCCCAGGATTCAAAATAATAAATCAGAATGTTACATTCATTGCCTACTTTGCAATGAAAAGTTTTTAATGCTCCATCTATTTGACTTTCAATACATCATAGTCTATTGATTTATTGTTTTAATTTCTTTTTTAACATTATCATCAATGGAGAAGGAAAATACAATGCAAATTTTTACAAGAAATGTCGGTTTTCTTCTAGTCGATTTTTCTGAACCTAATTGTATGTAATAATAGGAATTATTATCAAAAGTTGTTGCTCTAATTTGACTCACTGCAATGAAGCGTGCATTTTACCTCAATCAAATATTTCGAGTGTATACAATTTCTGTACAAGTTTAAGTAAAAGAATCGATTTAAAACGAAGAAGCTTTATTTGAGCGCCAAACGATGTTTGAAGAACAGCGGCCACTGTGAACGATAAACTCATCAGTTGTTCGCACTGAAGAAAAACTATCGGATATCAGTAAAAGTATAGAAATTAAGGCTTTATTATGACAATATTTGAATTAAAATGAGTGAGTCAGTGTTATGCAGCTGTATGTCACACACTCTATCCCAACCGTAAAGTAGCGTTTTATTGAACAAAATAATTTAGTATATAGCTGCTTGAGAAATAATGAAACAAGCTGCTGGGTCTGAAGACAAGTTGCAAATTGCGGGGGATGGGTGGATGGCTGGCAATTAGAAATACGCAGATTAACAAACCTGTCTTACAATCAATTCAAATTGTAGCTCAACGTATTAGTCAGTACAATAAGATTATAATCAAAAGTATCAAAACTACTAGCCTCCTTGTAACTATGGAACCATATTCTCAGCTGGTGAATGCATGACCGTTCTGGTAAACTTGCTCAATCAAATTTTCCTCAATAATTGTATTATTAAATTACTGCAAAGTTCTGTGTTGAAGCGTAATTCTTTCAAAACAGCCTCAGGCGTTTTAATGAGCATTTTTGGGAAATATTTTAACTGATAAACTCGAGTAATTTGTTCAGTAGTGAAGCAGACAGCGCTCTCACTATCGGTAACTCTTCGATGAACAAGTTAATGGAACTGACATTAACAATGGAGTTAATGGAACGGGACAATTCACATGATTGGTACTTTTGTGAAACAAATAAAATGAATTGAGGACGCCATTCATGGCTCCGTCATGCACGTAGGAGAGAGAAGTTGTCGAGATTTGGAACATTTATTGCAAAGTTCAAAATTTAACACAAAACACAAGATGTCCAATCAATGCAAAGAAAATTACAGGGCACCATAATTATAATAAACCACTCGTCCGTGAAATGTTACACTTGATCAAGCGAAAACCTGACGCTTCTGACAGAAAATATTTCAAAGACAACGTATGATAACGAGCAGGTGAATAGAAAATTGTGATTTTTTTCTGTATTAGCAATTCGAGCTACGATAGCCTTTCCTATAACATTCCAACAAAAAAATTTTTCAAGGAAAACACATTAAAATAATAAAGCATGACAGCGGCCAATGTTCATAATTCTCTAATTAATTGGGTCGTTAATTGGGTATTAATAATTCTCTATTGGGTCGTTAATTGCTGTTTTAATATCGGTCCCTTGATAGTGGCGATCATAAGTCGTGCCTTCGCTATAATGACCAGAAGAAAATGTTATAAAGCATACATCTTCCAAGAAAATCAAAGTTAGTAAACAAAATTACTTATCAGATTTTCCTACAAATTCCACTCGAAAAACAATTTCTCATAATTGTGTTATTTCATATCCATCGCTTCAATCAAGTTTTAAAAGGAAAGAACTTTTACAATTGAAAATATCGATAGTTTGGTACTATAAGAACACATTCAGGTATCCACAAGAAGTTGATGCTAGGGAAAACTAACAATAGTCGAGATTATATGCTGATAGATCATTCACATCACTAAATAATCATTGAGTTTACACCTGCACATTTAAATCATAATGTCATAAATCACACACGCAACCTAATGTTTCAAGCACGAAGACGGAAACACGCACGGAGACAACTTCTATATTCGTTAAAGTTAGGTTGAACAAATGTTTAGCACCACAAGATAATCTCACGCACAATAAATACGATTCCACTAATTGAAAAAATCCTCGTAAGTGGCAGATGGCACCGCTCACAGGACTGCTCCTAGCTGTGGGGAGACGTGCTCGCGTTATCTTATGCAATTCCTGAAATTTTTTGATTTTTAAATAAATATAAGTAATTTTTTTGTTTATAAATCAATTGAAGGTTAACAAGCAATTCTTGCTAAATACATCGTTTAAGTGAGCAGCGTTTATTTTTTAATTACTTCATATCCATGAAAAAAAGTTGTATTTTACTGCTACAGAACAATTTTAATTGGCCGAATGAATGTGTTCGTTCCTCTGGATCAATTTAATTTCTTTTTGCACAGAGAAAACAGTAGCGTGGGAAGGACCGAGGAAACTCAAATGGAGCTGCAGACTTTTAAACAAATTCTCTCAGAAGTTTTTTTGCTCTGTCAGGGAGTTTTCAGAGATACTTTAAGAGAACATGTCAATTGAATTAACACAGCAAGTTTTCCTGAAAACCGACTTTTTGATATCAAATATCCAACTAAATTTTTGTCGTTATAAATTGAGCAAATCACCGAGCGGGACGAGGTTCCGTGTGGAGACTTCACACGGCGCGGGGTAAATCGAAACAAATTTATTCCCGAGGCTATCGCACGAAATTTGTTTTCCAATGATCCCATCCCTTCGTTGTTGATATTATTCACTAAATGATATTTTGCAAATTCAAACACAAAGTTATTTTTACACGAAATGGCTTAAAATAAACTTTAGATTGAGTTATAGATTGAGAATTAGACCAATATGCAATTAGTTCAGAATTTAGAGCGCTCAAAAAGTTGTTAATCACACCACTCTTCGTTCAAGAATAAGTAAAAGATATGTTTTTCATTATGCAAGTTCATAAGCTTATACCTTCCCACTTCTTTAACATCTTTGTACATAAATCCATTATTAACATAAAACCCACAAATCAAGATTAAAAATACGATTATGAGAATTTATTTAATTAACAAGCTTAAAAGTAGTACAATTATAAACCAGTGAAAAAAAAACATGTTTTGTGCAATATGAACTTCTATATGAGAAGAATCACGCATAAAGTCGAATGCCCAATTTGTGCACAAGTGCGAGTATTTGTTAAGTTGAATGAATTTGTTTACATGCGTTGTGCATTTCGATCCACTCTTCCGCCATGCAGTTTTGTGCGCTCATTTGGAAGAGGTCAAATTTTTTGGCTGCCCATCGGTTAGCAGGTACAAAAGCAAGCAAAATCCTAATTATATGCATGGTCGCATCGGTTAGAGAGGCAGCAAGCGCAATCAAGGGTGGACCAGTTGTGCACTGTTGAATGTTTAAGCGCGTTAAGTAATTATCATAATTGGTTTGAATATATATATTTTAAATTTAGATTTTATTTTTCATAGCAAGCGTCTTTCAAAATGAATTTTTCCATGGTAAAATAAATTAATAAAGCTGATGACTAGACACATTTTCGTCCATATTGCGATCCAATACGAAACAAGTACTGAGTTCTCAAGGGTTTCTCAAAACCATAGAAAAAAATTTCAGAACAGAATTAGAACATTGTTTGGAACAATCCCCCACGTCATTCACATCCACTGACAACATGACTTATCAAAGAAGTCAAACTTTAGCATGGACTAGGATGGGAAGAAATGCATGTAGTCTAAACAAGCCCATTCCAAGACATTAACGTTATACGCATTAGACAAACTGGTGTTGCTGGGTAATCTAAACACCGATACTTGACAATCAAATTCAAAGCTTGATAAGATGTTGATAAGTTGATTCGATGTTTGATAATCAAATTCAAACCCGTGCTCAAATGGGATAGGTTATTTTTTCCAAAAAATTAAACCGCGACAATTTCCGAGTTTCTGCCAAGGAGTAATGACTCATTTTGGCGCGTATGGCTGTCTACTTGTCCTTGAACAGTCGAATTGAGTGGTAAGATCAAATTAAAAAAGGTATCATGAATGTGGAGTACACTATAACACAAGGCGATATATTTTACAAAGATCATCGATATGTCATTGAACAAGCGACTTGAACTTACACAGACAAATTTTAATCCCAAGCAGATGTCAGTAGTGCTGATGCCCTCATCATCTTGCATAATCCTGAATGGCTGTTTTAATTCAAATTGTAGTTTTCTTTGCTTTCATATTATGATTGACTTGACATTCGAATTATAAGGTCATATTATTTGTTCTGGTATCTTTTGTCAGAGCGAAGCGAGTAAATTTCGATGGATTTTTTTTTAAAGTTCTCAATGAGAAGCACATTATTTCTCTGATAATTTCGCACTACAAAACTGCAGAATACCACAAAAGTGTTGCCACATGAGATCAAACTTGACAATTGTATAGATTTTGTGATAATTTTAATTACAAGTGAAATAAAAAGGGGATGCAAGATGTAGAATATCGACTCGCACACACAAGATACGCTCACCTAGACTCACACAGAGAAGGTTGAGGACTTAAGCCTACGAACAAACAATTCGTGAAGGCCTACAAAATCCTGCTAACTATGAACAAGCTAAATGGCAGTGCCGCTGGGTCGTCCTCTCAATTTGTGCTGTTTGATCGAAAGTTTGTAAACCAAAATTCCACGATATGGAAATTAACGCTATTACTCAGTAACGGGAAAAAGATTTTGATGCAATGAAGACTCACTCGCATCAACTCAGCACTCACCGTTGATGCAGCTTTTGGGGCACAAAAGAGAAAGAAGGATAACTCGTTCCTTATTTTTCTTGCGGAGGAGGATTTGAGAAAAATTTTCAACTATAATAAATTCAATTTACCTTCAACGGAATGCCTCAATATGCAACACTACAACACAAGAGTAAAGCGAGGGTATGAACGCCCTGGGACAACTATCTTGCCATTGCCGCCTTCACATTTATTTGTCTCTGGCATCTTGAGTAGCAACACTAATCTTTATATTATTTTATAGGGTCTATTGCTTAATATTACATATGTACACAAAGCTTTAAAATGAGAGAACATTATCTTACAAGGGAAATTTTGAAGCAAACATGAACATACGAATTTTATGGTAAAAGTTTTAAAAAGTTGGAACGATTCGCGGCATGATCTTTGATGGAGAAGCACTTTCATGAGATTTGCACTTTGCTTTTCAAGATACCGCTTTTTTCATTCATAAATGATGAAGATGATAAAGAATAGTCAATATCGGAAAAGACCATCACTTCGTATGAAAGTTATTCGAAAACAAGTCGCAAAATAGACTTCAATCTTCCTGGTTACACTGCTCGGTTGGCAATCACTTCCATCACAAAGATTAGAGAAAAGTCTCTAGTTAGTATAATGTGCATCAAAAAATTCCGAGAATCATAACTGTGAACTTTGAAATATTAAGTTTTTTAATTTAATAATTATAGCACACTTTCAGGTAAATATAGACACATAGTGACTCAATAAATAAGTTAATTAACTATTAATACAAATATTCATAATAGGATTACCATGACCCCTTCTCATCAACTGAATCGTGACATTGACGCAATTAACAGTCATAAATTTTCAAATGGAATGCGAAAGAAATGCCCATATTACTTCAAAACATAAGACAAAAATATATCAAGTTTACATGACAAATGAATTTTTTCGATGGCTTCACCACAGTAAATGACACAGCGTAGAGTATAAAAGAATCTCTACAATTACAAGTAAGCGCTTCCGAACAGAAATTGCAACGATTCAAATGAGGTGGCGAATTCTGCATGAGCTCTAAAGGAGTGGCGCTATGTACAAGCAAGTGGCGGGAACCCTCAAGTACAGTGGCAGTGACTAATCTCATTAGCGTATCCGTGTGCTAAAGAAAGGTCACTCAATCCTGTTGTCAAACAATAAGATTTTAGAGCATCACTTAAGCACATTATCGACTCGAGTAAAAATTGAGACTTCGTGTTTCAGAACTCACAATACGGAGCTTATTCCCGACTTCCTTCTTTGCTGAGAACAAAAAACATATGACAGATGCAATTCAAAAGCGGTGATGTTTTCTCCCAAAAATGTGAATTTTACTAACAAACTTTGACAGTTGAGATAGCGTAACGACAAATTTTGTTCAAGTTAGATCGTAGAAACAGATAGATATATTTTATGTGATTGTTCGAATTAAAAATTAGCTGTTCAAAAACTTCTCTTTGCAACTAAACGTCCGGTATTAGGAAAATTGTGAATTTTTCGAAAATTCGGGGACATAATTATCTGCCAAACTAATATCAACGCAGCGTTAGTTTGAAGTACATGATGTCTAAGGTCTTCTACGAGCTTGCTTGGAGGCAACGCCTAAGAAAAGTTGTTACTAAATAACCCGAAATTAAAAATGGGAACTTGAAGCGTGACTTTATAACTTGAACTTGAAACAGGCAAGAATTTCCAAGTAATGAAATATTAACAAAGTTTTCTGATCAGCCAGATGGAAAAAAAATTCGCAATACCAGTGTGACATCCGAAACAGATCACATAGTCTAAATTAAAGTCCGAATCCGAATACAATTCACAGTGTAGCCAGAAAACCATTAAGTTTTCTAACCTTTAATATACCCAAGGAGAAAGTTTCAGCAATAAGCCTTAGTGGATCATCGAGCAGGAAAAGCCGAGTAGTGTAATCGAAAAGTTCACGTCATAGTAGCAGTAAAGCTTGGCGTCTTTGCAGAAAGTTTGGTCAAAAGACGCGCCAGCGAACAAGATTCATATTTCACTACCTAAATCCGTATCCAAATCATTCAAGTGTAAAATTCTACGTAGAAAGAAGTAGATAAATAGACAATTCCCTATTAGGTCTCGCTATGAATACTGATGAGGGAAGTAGAAAGTTGGCAAGATAATTAAAATGGTAATGTTACGTACTACATTTCGAGGGTAACGGGATGTTTTCACTTAACTTCAAGTTGGCGGTCAATTCTGAGTTTTCTTTTGTTTGGGTAGGGAGGATTTATAAATTTAAACTTCATTGGAATTACAAAGAAAATCTTAAAGGTGAGAGCACAAGAGACTAAAAAACCTGAGCACATCCATGGACATTGTCTATGAAAATGGTCGCTGAACCAGTACGTGTTCTGAAATGCTGCGTTTAGGGAACATGATTAATATCACTGCTTTATAAGATATTTACAGAAATTGACTTCGCATGGTATATGATAATCTCTTCTTCGAGCTTCCTCGAACATTGTAACATAAAGCTTTTCCCATTATCGTCTAAAAATTGTTGAATGGTATTCCTGACTAGAAAATATTACGTTTAAGAAACTAGTATGCCCTCGCGGTACAATAAAAATAACGCACACTCTAAAACAGTTCTCCTTTCATGATTATCTTTTTTGTAAGCAACCCATTTATTAGCAGTTGATAACTTGACTGCTAGCCTGTCTGCTGAAGGGAAATGCTGTACACGAGCGAAAATGAATTTAATTTCTGAGGATGAAAATTCTTGTACTGCTTGTAAAAAAACAGCTAAATTTAACCCATTATTAATTCAAGAAGAACTGTTATTTCCCCTCTGTAATTGTAATGCAGAAGAAAAACCTGCCTCAGAATTACATGAATCCAATAATATCATTAGATGTTATTTTAATTTCGAATTTATGGAGCGGGCAGAAGCTGCAATAAGAAGTGACCAACCTTTTACTGGTTGATGAATATTCCACTCCAAACGAATTTCGAAAATTTTCGTAGCATGAATTTACGGTAGCCTGCAATTCATGCGCTACATTCAATAAATTATTGAAGTTTGGAGGCAAGCTTGCATTCCGACGACTTGTTAATAAGAAAGAAAAAAATGACTTCCCCGCATCTCCATGAGACATTCCTCAACTCGCGCAGGCTAGAGGCATGCCTTCAACGCCCTCGTCCTCGAGCTTCATACCTCGAGAGATAAAAGTAAAGTCCTCGAGCTTCATACCTCGAGAGACAAAAGTAAAGTCCTCGAGCTTCATACCTCGAGAGACATAAGTAAAGTCCTCGAGCTTCATACCTCGAGAGATAAAAGTAAAGTCCTCGAGCTTCATACCTCGAGAGACAAAAGAAAGTTATGAGCGCAGGTATTGGAGATCAAAACGCAAATTTCGGCGCCTTTGAATACAGATCGGCGCTAACTATCATCGTGAAAAGAGCTGGCAAGACGGAAGCCATGATCACCTACATTTTTAAAAAGAGGATTATTTCTCTTCCTTGCTCTCTTCTCCCTTCTTTTCTTCTTCTTTCTTTTCTTCCTTCTTCTCTGCATCTTCTTCCTTCTTCTTTTCTTCCTTGTTATCAGCTGCCTCTTCCTCTTTCTTGTCATCTTTCTTTTTGTCATCTTTCTTCTTCTCTTCCTTCTTCTTCTCCTCCTTTTTCTTCTCTTCCTTCTTCTTCTCCTCCTTTTTCTTCTCCTCCTTCTTCTTGTCCTCCTTTTTCTTCTCCTCTTTCTTCTTGTCCTCTTTTTTCTTCTCGTCCTTCTTCTTCTCCTCCTTCTTCTCGACGAGAGGCTGCTGCTCGTCAGCCTCCTTCTCCTTCTTGAGGCACGGCTCCTCCTCCTCGTTCAGCGTCGTCACCTTCACCTCGTTGGGCGAGTAGCCCTTGACGCCTTTCTCCTCCGCCGGCATGTCCGTCAGGTTGGCCGTCTCCTCGTCACCAGCTGCAACAAGACGTTCATTCACTCACAGGGCATGAACAATCGCAGTTCCAATAATGGAACCATACACATAAAAATACTTCGTTCACCTGGCTACATAGAAATGTCCCGTCCAACCATATACAGTGGCTCGCAAAAGTATTGAATACTTTGCAATTTTCTTCATATCTCAAGTTAAAGTGCGAGATTTTTTATAATATTTGGTCAGTATATTGCTAAGGCTCCTAGAAACATCATATAGAGAGGATATTGAAAAGAATGCATTGTTTAGATTTTATTAAACAAATAGAAAAATAAACCCACGCAAAAGTATTGGGTACATGTTCATATATAAACAAAAATAATTTTTTTAAGTACTCAAAATTCACTTTTCACTTCAGACGTTCCACTAACTTCATAACGTTATCTAATTGGCCAATCATAGCAGTTTGCTATTGTTTACGAGATTTTGTATTCCGGTGAAGATATTTTTCAGCTTCATCTTTAAAATCTAATTTTAAATGGCTAAAACTCGAGAGTTGGCGACAGATTTGCGTCAAAAGATCATAGATTGTCACAAGAAACGGAAGGGGGAACGAATAATATCCAAGCAGCCTGATCTATTATTGAGTACAGTCGGAAATATCATCAGGAAGCTATCATCCTGATGATATCATCCGAGCATGCCGTTGCTAACCATCCAAGACCTGGTCGTCCAAGGAAACTAACGGACGATAATGCAAGGTGGATTAACAGAAAGATACAGAAGAACCCGTTTGTTGCTCGTGGTGAAATTAAAAGCGACCTGGAGGAATCTTGTATTGATGTAGAAAATGACACAATCAGCAGAGCTCAAAATCGTACTGGTCCGATGTCAAGATCCTCACGAAAGATTCCTCTGTTGAAGTACCGACTCGTTAAACCACAAGTTCACAAGGAATTTAAAAGCAAAGAAAACGCCAAGAAAATTCACCATATCGATATCGAAAACGTTTCGGAGTCCAGCTCCATCATCAGTTCGACCAAACTAAAAATGAATAAAATCACTTTAAAAGTCAAAATTCAAAGACAGACGATGCGATCAAACCTGGTCTATGAGTTCTGTTGTGCACGCTGTGCATCTACGTACGTTGGAATGACGTCGCGTAACTTCTACATCCGGGTTTCTGAACACCGTGACAGGAGCTATCGTTCTAACTTGCCTCTCGCCAAGCCTCCTCATTCTTCCGTGCGCCTTCATGCTGAACAGTGCGACGTGGCTGTATCTGAGAGTGATTTCAGGATACTCGGTTCCACTTCTGGCTGCTCGGATTTGAGAATTTTGGAGTCTCTACATATCTTCAAGCGAAAACCATGTCTCAATAATGCGTTTAGCTCAAATAATCTGGAAATAGTAAATCGCTAGGATTTTATATTCTTGTCGTACCCCTAGGACTAAGTTGTTCTAAACTAGTCCTGTTTATGTCGATATAATGTTAGGTCTTGTTTAGGTTTTATGTCTGTCTTTGAATTTTGACTTTTAAAGTGATTTTATTCATTTTTAGCTTAGTCGAACTGATGATGGAGATGGACTCCGAAACGTTTTCGATATCGATATGGTGAATTTTCTTGGCGTTTTCTTTGCTTTTAAATTCCTTGTGAAACCACAAGATTTGGGAAATCGGTCAAAATCCTGGTCGGACGAAACAAAAATCGAACTTTCAAAAGGAATTTAATCGAACCTTGACATAGGACCAGTACGATTTAGAGCTCTGCTGATTGTGTCATTTTCTACATCAATACAAGATTCCTCCAGGTCGCTTTTAATTTCACCACGAGCAACAAACGGGTTCTTCTTGTATCTTTCTGTTAATCTACCTTGCATTATCGTCCGTTAGTTTCCTTGGACGACCAGGTCTTGGATGGTTAGCAACGGCATGCTCGGATGATATCATCAGGATGATTGCTTCCTGATGATATTTCCGACTGTACTCAATAATAGATCAGGCTGCTTGGATATTATTCGTTCCCCCTTCCGTTTCTTGTGACAATCTATGATCTTTTGACGCAAATCTGTCGCCAACTCTCGAGTTTTAGCCATTTAAAATTAGATTTTAAAGATGAAGCTGAAAAATATCTTCACCGGAATACAAAATCTCGTAAACAATAGCAAACTGCTATGATTGGCCAATTAGATAACGTTATGAAGTTAGTGGAACGTCTGAAGTGAAAAGCGAATTTTGAGTACTTCAGAAAAGTTATTTTTATTTATTTTTGAACATGTACCCAATACTATTGCGTGGGTTAATTTTTCTATTAGTTGAATAAAATCTAAACAATGCATACTTTTCAATATCCTTTCTATATAATGTTTCTAGCACCATTAGCAATATACTGAACAAATATTATAAAAAATATGAAGAAACTTGCATTATATCCAATACTTTTGCGAGCCACTGTAGTTGCATCGATAGGTCCTGTCTAAATCGTCACAAACGCCGCTAACTGTTGTTGAGTAGAAATGTCTTGTCTGGCTGCTGCATAGAAAATGCAAGGAAGCCATAGAAAAAGTATAAATTTCAGGCTTAACAAATCAAAGGAAAATGGCAGGTCCAACCGATTGCATCGAAATGTCTGGCACAACTGGTTGCATAAGAATATTTGGTAAATGGTATGCCTACTATATATATACTACAAGTTTCACATCCGCTGCACTGCTATCGCATGTAATTTCATAGAACGATTCTTAATTAATTCAATTTATAACAACACAACAATTAGATTATCGGTTATCGTGTCGACCACTGTCACAAATTCTGCAGTCACTACAAACGCATCAGGAATCCTAGGAGTGAATTGGACAGTAAAAAAAACATTGCGTCGGACAGCGAGTCCCTCGCTGCAGCTGATCCTTGGCAAATCAAAATGCTATCACCTTTACGCTTCAAAATACAGGGTGCTGAACATTTGTTTATTGTTTTGAAACTTCGTTCACTGGATGGATATACGTAGTTAGAATGAGTAAATCGTAACAAAATTTCGATATTTCTTTGAGAGGCTAAAAGATATAGTGTCCTATAACATACAGGCATATGATATATTTTGGATGTCCAGAAGACTTGCTTTCAAATGAAATTTCTGCTACATATATAGATTCTGTGAGAAGTCAGCTCACAATACAAGACTTACATAGCAATAATAACTAACAAAGTTAGTCGTGCACTGCCTCGAAAGGTATCAATGTCCACCTTAACGGGACATTTTCTCTCCTGGCTGATGTTGTGAGATATTTTTTGCACTGTGCCGTTCTGCAGTCACTCCGTCAAGTCAACGCATTGACAGCATTACAGTCAATAAGTCAAATGAAAAAAAACTGTACAAATTTTCCCTGTAATAAATGAGGACCAGCCTTATCACTGTTTTCTGATACATCACTCGTAGCTTAGAACGAGCAGCGAAATTTCACGCGTAATCTTTACCGAACAGTTTTCGTTGAGTTACTGCACTCTGCCGTCACTCTAACTTTAACGTGAATACCCACACTGCGTTCTGCCGTCACTCTAACTTTACGTGATAAGCCACACTGTCTCTTTCATTTACAATCCTGTTGGTTTACTGTGTGGGTAATGACTGGCACTTACCCCACACCGTCACTCTAACTTTACCTTGATTACCCACACTGCACTCTGCCGTCACTCTAACACTTTACCGTCACTCTCTAAGCTGAACGCCACCGTCACAGCACACAATTATTCAGGACCCAGCATGGCCAGCATTGAACGACACTCCTGGTCCAAACGTCGTGTTTGAAACAAAGCAAAGGTCCCACTTGAATTATATCACTACAATAATCTGGTAGAGCTGACATATTTTCTTCTCAGTTCTTTGAACCAAGAAACAAGAAACATTAACTGAAATCAAGACGGCAGAATATGCATGCAGTTTGACACTACCTATATTAGTTCAAAAATCCCGAACTATGTTCATTTTAGACATTTTCAAGTTAATTTTACAAGTGTTTCCAACAAATTGAAAAAAATTAGAATTGTTTTATTATACATTTTGAGAGAATAATTTTGGAGTGTAATTAATATCACATTGATACTTGATGGAGTTAAGAGAGTGAGCACCACTACTGACAATAAATGCACCCATCAACTGCGATAATAATTTGGTCATGATTAGCTAAATCATTTGATAATTATGATAATTTTTCATCATTAGATGAATCATGTGGTCATGATTCGACGAGTCAATAGTTATAATTAACCTGCGATCATAATTAACAAGATCGAAGCTCCTCGTTGCACTCCCAGCTGATAACGTTGTTGTATCTTAATCAACGGAATACATTTTTTTATGCATAAATCTCAACGATTTTTCATCAAAATTCATATAATCAAAATTTATGGACGACTAGCTGCGATTTTTTCCTAAAATTGTTGACTTTTCATTGCATTTATATTTATATCGAAATGTCACACTACCGAACAGTTATTCAGTACCCACTGGCCTTGATCACATTCATCACTGGGAACAGCAGCATGCAGTGTCCGCCACTCATCGATAGCTGTGGTTTTCATCCCACATTCAAACATTTTGTTATTTATTACCCGCCGCTCAAGGGGATCTTTTTGTTATTAGAAGCTGCGTTCACTACCCACCAGTCGCGATGATGTCGTCCTTGTCGTACTTGACACGACATGTGTAGTAGAGCGGACACTTGGACCAGAAGCAGCACACGATGAAGATGATAGTGAAGAGCAGCAGCGTGCCTGTCACACTCAGTGCCACGATCATCGCCACTCTGCAAATACTGAACACGTTACGGCAGAGACGGTTAGTGACAGAATGTGAAGGTGACGATATAATAACAGTTATATGATAACCACTTTCACAGTGATGACAGTCACACGAAGCGTAAAGAACCGGGCCACTTCCCACTAAGTAAAGGAATCAGCCACGCGAATATGAGTCGGAAATAAAATATATACAAGCGCAGCATTCCAAAAGCTGGTGCATGTTATATTTTTGCATAGATAAGATAATTTGAGAAAAGTATTAGGTAAGTATTTTCATTAGAGTGATTAGAGGAAAACCAATATAATAAATATGTTGCTAAGTATATAGGTGTCCGGAGACCTTTTCTTCAAGCCTATTCCGGTTAAGAATAAAAACACACCAAATCTTTCAGTGGAAAGCATTGGGCATTAAAAATATAGAACAAAGCTCATGTTTAAGAATACAGTGAATAAAAAGCAAGTGAAAAGCATTAGGTATTAAGAATATAGAACAATGCTCCTGTAAAATTCGTTCACCTGGCTACATAAAAATGTCCCGTCCAACCATACACAGTGGCTCGCAAAATTATTGGATACATTGCAATTTTCTTCATATCTCAAGTTAAAGTGCGAGATTTTTTATAATATTTGGTCAGTATATTGCTAATGGTGCTAGAAACATTATACAGAGAGGATATTGAAAAGTATGCATTGTTTAGATTTTTTTAAACAAATAGAAAAATTAACCCACGTAAGAGTATTGGTACATGTTCAAAAATAAACAAAAATAACTTTTTTGAAGTACTCCAAATTCGCTTTTCACTTCAGACGTTCCACTAACTTCATAACGTTATCTTGTTGGCCAATCAGAACAGTTTGTTATTGTTTGTTAATATCACATTGATACTTGATGAATGATGGAGTTAGGAGAGTGAGTATACCACATACTGACAATAAGTGTACCCATCAACCGCGATTATACAATTTGGTCATGATTAGCTAAATCATCTGATAATTATAATCATTTTTCCATGATTAGATGAATCATGTGGTCGTTATTCGACGAGTCATTAGTTATATTTAGCCTTTGATTATAATTAACAAGATCGAAACTCCTCTTTCGCGCTTCAAGCTAATAACGTTGTTGTATCTTAATTAACGGAATAAATTTGTATTATGCATGAATCTCAACGATTTTTCATTAAAATTCATAAAATCATAATGTATGGACGACTAGTTGCGATTTTTTCTTAAAATTGTTGACTTTTCATTGCCTTTATATTTATATCGAAATGTCACACTACCGAACAGTTATTCAGTACCCACTGGCCTTGATCACATTCATCACTGGGAACAGCAGCATGCAGTGTCCGCCACTCATCGATAGCTGTGGTTTTCATCCCACATTCAAACATTTTGTTATTTATTACCCGCCGCTCAAGGGGATCTTTTTGTTATTAGAAGCTGCGTTCACTACCCACCAGTCGCGATGATGTCGTCCTTGTCGTACTTGACACGACATGTGTAGTAGAGCGGACACTTGGACCAGAAGCAGCACACGATGAAGATGATAGTGAAGAGCAGCAGCGTGCCTGTCACACTCAGTGCCACGATCATCGCCACTCTGCAAATACTGAACACGTTACGGCAGAGACGGTTAGTGACAGAATGTGAAGGTGACGATATAATAACAGTTATATGATAACCACTTTCACAGTGATGACAGTCACACGAAGCGTAAAGAACCGGGCCACTTCCCACTAAGTAAAGGAATCAGCCACGCGAATATGAGTCGGAAATAAAATATATACAAGCGCAGCATTCCAAAAGCTGGTGCATGTTATATTTTTGCATAGATAAGATAATTTGAGAAAAGTATTAGGTAAGTATTTTCATTAGAGTGATTAGAGGAAAACCAATATAATAAATATGTTGCTAAGTATATAGGTGTCCGGAGACCTTTTCTTCAAGCCTATTCCGGTTAAGAATAAAAACACACCAAATCTTTCAGTGGAAAGCATTGGGCATTAAAAATATAGAACAAAGCTCATGTTTAAGAATACAGTGAATAAAAAGCAAGTGAAAAGCATTAGGTATTAAGAATATAGAACAATGCTCCTGTAAAATTTAGAGTGAAGAATAAGCAATAATGTTTATACGTGTATAGGTTGAGAAACCGAGGCACACATAAAAATAAATGGCAAAACGACGAGGCAAGTGCATTGAGGCGACCGAAAAATATCGATATAATGGCGAAATAGTAGAAAGAAACAAATGAAACAATTTTATTTTAGATACACTTAGATTTTTGTCGATTTGTTTGTCTGTTAAACGTACTGTTAATTTATACATGATATATAAGCTCGACGTTTGTGTGCTTCGTGTGATAGCCAAGACATTAATTGTTCAGGAGCATTAGAATTCTTTAGCATATAAATCACAAGATAATGAACAGCAACTGCATGTCCAGGTGATAATTACAACGTAAAATAATTACACAACTTAGCGATGTATGAATACGAGAAAATGTATTGGAGTATTTGATGTACAAGTAATCCTTGTTATATTGAGAAATGTTTCCATACAAACCCAAGATGATTATATTTTGATAGTCCGTTAGCAACGAAACAAGGTAGAAAGCATTTTTAGCTCCTATAAACTACAAAACAATGAATTAATGCAACTCAATTGGGATCCCAAATTGAAATGTTTTTTCTTATTAATGAGTAACCAATTTAATTTTCAAACTCAGGTGCACGTTATAAAAAGTATTTTTATAGATTTATTGAAATATCATTAACCCATTCAACCGAAATGTTAGCCGGAAAACAAGTCTACGCCTAACCGGGATACCAAAACGCGTTTCAAGCAATGAAAAAAATATAACATAATGCATGCAGTGCTCACCGGTCATCAAGGCCGAGCAGCCAGTCGAGGAAGCTCTGCTCGATCTTGGGTGCACAGCATCGAGGTTTTCTGACTTTTGGTCCATCATCGTCATCATCGGTGACTTTCTTCACGGCATCGAGGAAAGCACCACTTCCACCATCAGCACTTCCCTCTCCATCCTCCTGATCCTCCTGGTCATCGTCGTACTCGTAGCAGCACTCGGTGAAGTTCGCGGGATCGTCAATGCCAGGACAGGACAAGACCGGTGCTGGAGTGGACGAGCTCACACCCACCAGCTCATCTGTGGTGTTGTCCGGCGCGGGCGTCGGTGACCTCGCGGGTATCGCTATCACGGGGCACTCTTTGCCCGCTGTAACCGATAATAATGTGTTAATAAGTGCAAGAAATGTTTTATTGAACAATAAAATATTAATAATATACGATTACTTTTTACGAGACACTAGACCTACATCCTTTGATTAAACGAATGTTGTCAAATTATAGTATATTCGGTGTTAGAATTTTGTAAATTAACATGTACATGCAGATTACAATAATTTGTATGCAAATTATCCTTACAAAAAGTAAATAAATACATAAATAAATGTAAGTTTTACAATTATATTGACTTGAGAATTAAATTAAATTCAAATCTACATGTATATCAACGAATAATATGTTCAAGCATTACTACGGGTTTAGCAAATAAATATTCGTTGGGCAGATAATAACTTAGCATCTTAGCGCAAATAGTTGTGCATGTAATGAAGCAACTCGAAGATTGATAGAACGAGAAAGTTCTGTCAAGCAATTACTTTACTAAATACCACGAAACAAATCGAGGCAAATTTCTCTGAATTCCAGAATTTTTCTTATACGGGCAGCCCATAATTTAACACGACGGCCAGAATAATGAGTGATAATTCGAGCCGAATTCCAGTACATAAAGTTAGGACTAAAATCTGGAGCCGTCTGTGCAGAGTACTTTTAAGCACATTATCGCTCATGCAAAGGTTTCTCCCGACCAACATGTACGACCCTCACTCACAAAGGATTCTTAATTAGAGCGAAGAACCCGTTAAAATAAATTAGATATAAGTTATTATACTTGACAAAAAAATTAACATCAGAAATGTAAGACAAAATTTTGAATTTAGTCATCTGTTTCAGAAAGCTTGTGTGTTTAAAGCCTTTTACATGGATACATATATAAGAGGAGATTGTGGGCTTATCTACATTACTCAATTATCGATTCAGAACATTACCTGGGAATTATTTCAGGTATGGTGGAATATTTATTTAATATTTAATAATATTTACAAATATTTAATAAAATTCGATTCAAAATCTAAAAACAAGAATTGTTGAACTCAGTTCTCAACTTTAGGATTGCGTGTTGGTTCTAAATCCGACAGTAAAAGATTGGATGGTGCAGTTTCTGCTCGCATTTGCTCGTGGCTGAGAACACAAAATTGGTAGGGCGAAGTAGGGTCAGAAATATGAATTACTGGTTTCTTTTTCTGGTACAGTGACTTCTAGGAAGTTTATTTAGAGTCCACAGAAATAACTTGGCCGTCCTCGACGAGTGCAAAGGACGATAACACTAACGGTCGGAAATATAGTGATGCGGTGTCCGATATTGGCTTCAGGAGAGCTAGAGCGACTCGACACTCGAATTGGATTAGTGCCGAGAAAAATGGCACAGTCCAAAAATACGGAACTGTGTTGTTGTCGAGGCTAGTGTCTTGAACGGCATTACACTAATGGCATGTCTGCATGCGGTTTTTGTCGTGTGTTCAGTGATGCTACTTTAGTTTATGATGAATTCGATATGTTCCGCATTCTCCTAGTGCATGTGGGAATTGCTGCCACTGCGTTACACAGTGACTACGTAATATTTTAATAAGTAGACTGAAAGTAAATTATGTCATACGAGCATATATGTAACAATCAAGTATTGGCTCAAAATCAGCATTGAAGAAGAGTGTTTGATAAGATAAAACAACATTCATGGCATATTCAGCGAATAAGTTCAATATCTTGAAGTTCGTCGCACCATAAGCTAGGCAGCAGGGTCTTTAAGTCTGAACTTTCGGGGTTGCAAATTTCCATTAATTCGATCAGCAACTCGGAAGAAATGAGTTAAAAGACTTACGGAACTTCCCAGAGAAAATGATAATTTTAGAGCTGAAGGGAATTGTTGGCTAACGAAGAGAAATTGGTTAGGAAAAAAGATAGCAGGAAAGTTTTCAAGATGTCAATTAAGCCTTTCCTGCAGGCTTACCATCATGTTGGTCTAAAAAATGATGATATTATTTCAATACCCAATATATATAGATGAGGTAACGTGAGCAAAAATTCATGCAATGGGCATCGTGCTGCATATAATGCGTGTATAAGTCAGGAATCTGCGACAAATTTGACGTTCGAACAATGGTTTCTTTGTTTCAACCAAAATTCCGATGAAAAATGTGAGCCAAAATTTCCCATGTGGACGAAACAGTATAATATTATCGTGGTTGACCAAGAAACAAACTCAACGGGGGTGGACACGTTTGTGCGCTGCTATATAAAGACAAACACATTTCTTAAGAAGAAAGAAAGAAAACATGAGTAAATTACCCAAAGATTAAACCAACACTATTTTGGTAAAGACTTGAATGGACAAATGGATGAAAATACGAAGATATTGCGCGGCAAAGCAAACGCGTTGCGACGTGAAAGCAACTCCCGACAATGGCTCGAACTAACGCAGCGTAAAATGACGCCATTTGGGCTGCAGCGATTACTCGAATGCTATGAGAGGGAAAACCGTTTAGGAGACAACCACGCACCAGCCGTACGAACCTCTCAGTCAAAACATGAGGGAAAAATTCGTGTTCTGTCCATGCAGTTTGCGTATGAACCACTTTATCAAAACATGAGGTAACAATTATTCGCGTCTTGTACATGCATTTGCCGTATAAGCTTCGCCATCAAAACATGAGGGAACAATTCTTATCCTGTTTCTCCAGTTGCTGTATGAACCTCTCAGTCCAAACATGAGGGAACAATTTGTGGTACAGGATCTTTTTCGTGTCCTGTTCCTTTTGTGTCCTGTTTCTTTCTTTTGTGTTGCAGGGTCTTTTTCGTGTCCTGTTCCTTCAGTTGTCGTATGAACCTCTTCATCAAAATATAGCGGAACAATAATTCGGGTCCCGTACATGGAGCTGCCGTATGATGTATGTACCTGCTCATCGAAACAATGAGGGAACAATTCGTGCCCTGTCAGTGTCCATGCACCAGCCATATACGGAAACCTCCATCAAGACACCAGGAATAATACGTTAACCACGGCCCACCAGCACGGCCAGATGGCCTAAAAACAGCAAAGTCCACGGATAATAAACCCCGTAATTCCTAATACAAGAGTAAATTTGTATGTTCCGGTGCAAAAATTAGATTTTCGGTTTTCCGTACATTTTAATATTTAATGAGGTAGTCCTGCCATCATAAATTTTTGTCGATAAACTCAATTGAAAAAAACTAAGTTGCGAAATTTGTCGGAAAAAAAACCCTACAACCCACCGGTGGATCGTGGCGCACTCAACGTGTTAAGTGAGTTTGCCCCCATTTGTTATTTCACGTATTCTGGAACTTAGTTCATTGTCAATATCTCTATAATTTGAAGCTATTAGCATTTTATTAGAATAATTTTCAAAGTTGGGAATATTTTCATAGTTATCATATTTAAAGTTGAACAAAATATGATACTACGAAATGAGGATAGAAGTGGGTTGCTATTAGGATTAATCAAAGAATTTAATTTGATTTGGGTGGAATAAGGCGTGCGATCCATGGTCTATTGGACAAATGCGAGTAAGTACCTTCACAAGAGTCTCTAAAAACAAAATTTTACTTTATTCATCATCAATTATTTCGTTCCTACAACCACTGAGAAGTTATGAAAACTACAAAACTTTGGGAAATTTTTGAGTAAACTTGAAATTGTATTTTTATTGTATAACTCATAACTCAATGATGAAAAGACTTATGTAACTTCAATGAATTCCACAAAGCAGAACATCGTGGATGAAAATTAATAGGAAAATATGAGAACCTCGTTCGCCCAATGCAACAATTTAAGCCATGTACAGGACATTATACTAAGACCTGTGTTAGAAGGTGTAAAGTTATGTACATTTACAGTGATTCCGTTATGAAATTCATGCAATGTTGCATTCATTATTGTAACATATGATTAGACGGTAAAATGTCCTGTGTTTTCCAAACTAGATGTTATGCGTGAGCCTAAATTGCACATAACATTATACTTTGAGTATAAAGGCACCGGAGGGACGTTTTTTTGCAATAGAATAAACGAGGCGGTCGTATTCAAGTCACGGTCACACTAAACGGTACCGAGTTATATGTGCAAGCAGGCCGAGCGCTCTGTATCGCTGAGGTCGAGGTGTTGGCACTGCTTTAGTATTGCGTCGGTTCGATACAAAAGTGCATCAACATCAATATTCAATATGGCGCTGCAGCGCTAATACGATTTGACTAGCACGGGGCCTTAGTTAACGCCAGCGCCAATTTCCAACACATAAGCAGCAGCACGAGGTATGCATCGCTCAATCCAGTTATTCCGAGCGAACACACATTTTTACTGGAATGATATATTATGAAAACGCTGTATCAGATTTCAAATGATATAAATATGCATTTATTTGGTGTATTTTCAACATAAACTGATCTGGTGGGCGATTTCAGTGCCTTCCTTCATTCCCCAAGATTATTTTTTTCTAGCAATAAGGCATCAAGAAACGCGTCATGTCCCTCGACTCCTACAATTCCTGACACAGAACTTCCTTAACAAGCTGAGCCAGGCTGCCTGCAATGCTACGGCCCGATGCGCAGCGAAGCGGCCGAAGTTAGTAATGGAGAGGTAAATGTTGGAAGTTCAACAAATTTCTCGAGTACTTAGGAACAACTTTTGGTCCATCGAAGACTACTGCCAAGTGTCCAAGAACGGCGCTTAATTTTGGAGAAGAGATGTCAAATTTTTCTTATTTGGACCGTGTTGAGCCGATTAATCTCAAGAATCAGCCGATAAGAATCTGCTCGATTAATTACCAAGTTATGGTGCAAAGAGTTATGTCGCTACGTAATATTGGCCTCTTTTTAAGACAAAATCGTATTTCTCCATTTTAAACACTGGCGCCGAAATTCGGAGATTAGTTATAGGTAAAATGAAATTCAAAGCGAATGATTTTTGACAAACTATTTTTTACTCCGCAAATGCACCCATCGGAGGTTTACTTTGCTTCATTTTTTTTAAGTTGCCATACTTGCAGTAGATTTAATCTTTATAGGCCGTTTGATAACAGG